GTGGGTGGATGGGTGGGTGGGTGGATGGGTGGGTGGGTGGGTGGGTGGATGGGTGGGTGGGTGGGTGGATGGGTGGGTGGGTGGGTGGATGGATGGGTGGGTGGATGGGTGGGTGGGTGGGTGGATGGGTGGGTGGATGGGTGGATGGGTGGGTGGGTGGGTGGGTGGATGGGTGGGTGGGTGGATGGGTGGGTGGATGGGTGGATGGGTGGATGGATGGGTGGGTGGATGGGTGGGTGGGTGGATGGGTGGGTGGGTGGATGGGTGGGTGGGTGGATGGGTGGGTGGATGGGTGGGTGGATGGATGGGTGGGTGGATGGGTGGATGGGTGGGTGGATGGGTGGGTGGATGGGTGGGTGGGTGGATGGATGGGTGGGTGGGTGGATGGATGGGTGGGTGGGTGGATGGATGGATGGGTGGGTGGATGGGTGGGTGGGTGGATGGGTGGGTGGATGGGTGGGTGGGTGGATGGGTGGGTGGATGGGTGGGTGGGTGGATGGGTGGGTGGATGGGTGGGTGGGTGGATGGGTGGGTGGGTGAGTGGATGGGTGGGTGGGTGGGTGGATGGGTGGGTGGGTGGGTGGATGGGTGGGTGGGTGGATGGGTGGGTGGGTGGGTGGATGGGTGGGTGGGTGGGTGGATGGGTGGGTGGATGGGTGGGTGGATGGGTGGGTGGGTGGATGGGTGGGTGGGTGGATGGGTGGATGGGTGGGTGGGTGGATGGGTGGGTGGGTGGGTGGATGGGTGGGTGGGTGGATGGGTGGGTGGGTGGATGGGTGGGTGGGTGGATGGGTGGGTGGGTGGGTGGGTGGATGGGTGGGTGGATGGGTGGGTGGATGGGTGGGTGGGTGGGTGGGTGGATGGATGGGTGGGTGGATGGGTGGGTGGGTGGGTGGATGGGTGGGTGGGTGGGTGGATGGGTGGGTGGGTGGGTGGGTGGGTGGGTGGATGGGTGGGTGGGTGGGTGGATGGGTGGGTGGGTGGATGGGTGGGTGGATGGGTGGGTGGATGGGTGGGTGGATGGGTGGATGGGTGGGTGGATGGGTGGGTGGGTGGATGGGTGGGTGGGTGGATGGGTGGGTGGGTGGATGGGTGGGTGGATGGGTGGGTGGATGGGTGGGTGGGTGGATGGGTGGGTGGGTGGATGGGTGGGTGGGTGGATGGGTGGGTGGGTGGTCCAAAGTTCGGGGAGCGGCACAACAATCACGTGGACAAAATGTCACGGGCTGGTTTTGGTTCTTTTATTTCGTCATCGCCGCGATGACGTCATCGCCGCGATGACGTTATCGGCGCGATGACGTCATCGGCGCGACGGCGGCAGCAGCAGGCGTCGCCGCGGTGATGAGGTCGTGACGAGGTCGTGACGAGGTCGTGACGAGGTGACGAGGTCGTGACGAGGTGACGAGGTCGTGACGAGAGGTCATCGTGGTGACTACGTTGTCACTGTGACGAGGATCGTGACGAGGTCGTGACGAGGTCGTGACGAGGTCGTGACGAGGTCGTGACGAGGTCGTGACGAGAGAGAGCTTGTCGCCATTAAAAGAAAGTTCACCGCGAGATTTGTGTCGAGTCCATTTGTGACGACGCCCCCCCGCCCCTCACGGTCGACGAGACGGAGAGCGTGGGAAGGGAGCCAGACAGCAGGAGAGCCAGACAGCAGGAGAGAGCCAGACAGGAGGAGAGCCAGACAGGAGGAGAGCCAGGCAGGAGAGCCAGACAGGAGCCAGACAGGAGAGCCAGACAGCAGGAGAGCCAGACAGGAGAGCCAGACAGGAGCCAGACAGGAGGAGAGCCAGACAGCAGGAGAGCCAGACAGGAGAGCCAGACAGGAGGAGAGCCAGGCAGGAGCCAGGTAGCAGGAGCCAGACAGCAGGAGCCAGACAGCAGGAGAGCCAGACAGGAGCCAGCTAGCAGAGAGCCAGACAGCAGGAGCCAGACAGCAGGAGAGAGCCAGCTAGCAGGAGCCAGCTAGCAGAGAGCCAGACAGGAGAGCCAGCTAGCAGGAGCCAGACAGGAGCCAGCTAGCAGAGAGCCAGACAGGAGAGCCAGCTAGCAGGAGCCAGCTAGCAGAGAGCCAGCTAGCAGAGAGCCAGACAGGAGAGCCAGCTAGCGAGCTAGCAGAGAGCCAGACAGCAGGAGAGAGCCAGCTAGCAGTAGAACCAGCTAGCAGGAGCCAGACAGGAGAGCCAGCTAGCAGGAGCCAGACAGCAGGAGCCAGCTAGCGAGCTAGCAGGAGCCAGCTAGCAGGAGCCAGACAGGAGAGCCAGACAGGAGAGCCAGACAGGAGAGCCAGACAGCAGGAGCCAGACAGCAGGAGCCAGCTAGCAGGAGAGCCAGACAGGGCCAGACAGGAGAGCCAGACAGGAGAGCCAGACAGCAGGAGCCAGACAGCAGGAGCCAGCTAGCAGGAGAGCCAGACAGGGCCAGACAGGAGAGCCAGACAGGAGAGCCAGACAGCAGGAGCCAGACAGCAGGAGCCAGCTAGCAGGAGAGAGCCAGCTAGCAGGAGCCAGCTAGCAGGAGCCAGACAGGAGCCAGCTAGCAGTGAGCCAGCTAGCAGAGAGCCAGCTAGCAGGAGCCAGACAGGAGAGCCAGCTAGCAGGAGCCAGCTAGCAGGAGCCAGCTAGCAGGAGCCAGACAGCAGGAGAGAGCCAGACAGCAGGAGAGAGCCAGACAGCAGGAGCCAGCTAGCAGTAGAACCAGCTAGCAGGAGCCAGCTAGCAGGAGAGCCAGACAGCAGTAGAGCCAGCTAGCAGGAGCCAGACAGCAGGAGCCAGACAGCAGGAGCCAGCTAGCAGGAGCCAGACAGCAGGAGCCAGACAGCAGGAGCCAGACAGCAGAGAGCCAGACAGGAGCCAGCTAGCAGGAGCCAGGGAGGAGCCAGCTAGCAGGAGCCAGCTAGCAGAGAGCCAGCTAGCAGAGAGCCAGCTAGCAGAGAGCCAGCTAGCAGAGAGCCAGCTAGCAGAGAGCCAGACAGCAGGAGAGCCAGCTAGCAGTAGAACCAGCTAGCAGGAGCCAGCTAGCAGGAGAGCCAGCTAGCAGGAGCCAGCTAGCAGAGAGCCAGCTAGCAGAGAGCCAGACAGGAGAGCCAGCTAGCAGGAGCCAGCTAGCAGAGAGCCAGCTAGCAGAGAGCCAGACAGGAGAGCCAGCTAGCAGGAGCCAGCTAGCAGAGAGCCAGCTAGCAGAGAGCCAGACAGGAGAGCCAGCTAGCAGGAGCCAGCTAGCAGAGAGCCAGCTAGCAGAGAGCCAGACAGGAGAGCCAGCTAGCAGGAGGCAGCTAGCAGAGAGCCAGCTAGCAGGAGAGCCAGCTAGCAGGGCCAGCTAGCAGGAGCCAGGCAGGAGAGCCAGGCAGAGCCAGCCAGGAGCCAGACAGGAGCCAGACAGGAGCCAGACAGGAGCCAGCTAGCAGGAACCAGGCAGGTAGGAGCCAGGGAGGAGAGCCAGCTAGCAGGGCCAGACAGGGAGGCCGCGCTGGTGCCCACTGAGCGTGGAGTCTCTTCTGTCTCTGTCTGTGTCTCTGTGTCTGTCTGTGTCTCTGTCTGTGTCTCTGTGTCTCTGTCTGTGTCTCTGTCTGTGTGTCTCTTTGTCTCTGTCTGTGTCTCTGTCTGTGTCTCTGTGTCTCTGTCTGTGTCTCTGTCTGTGTCTCTGTCTGTCTCTGTCTGTGTCTCTGTCTGTGTCTGTGTCTCTGTCTGTGTCTGTCTCTCTGTGTCTCTGTCTGTGTCTCTGTCTGTGTCTGTCTCTCTGTGTCTCTGTCTGTGTCTCTCTGTGTCTCTCTGTGTCTCTCTGTGTCTCTGTCTGTGTCTCTGTCTGTGTCTCTGTCTGTGTCTGTCTCTCTGTGTCGCTCTGTGTGTGTCTCACTGTGTCTCTCTGTGTCTCTGTCTGTGTCTCTGTCTCTGTGTCTCTGTGTCTCTCTGTGTGTCTGTCTGTGTCTGTGTCTGTGTCTCTGTCTGTGTCTGTCTCTCTGTGTCTCTGTCTGTGTCTCTGTGTCTCTGTCTGTGTCTGTCTCTCTGTGTCTCTCTGTGTGTGTCTCACTGTGTCTCTCTGTGTCTCTGTCTGTGTCTCTGTCCCTGTGTCTCTCTGTGTGTCTCTGTGTCTCACTGTGTCTTTGTGTGTCTCTCTGTGTCACTGTTTCACTGTGTCTCACTGTGTCTCTCTGTGTCTGTCTCTGTGTCTGTCTCTGTGTCTCTCTGTGTCTCACTGTGTCTCTCTGTATGTGTGTCTGTCTCTGTCTCTCTGTGTCTCTGTGTCTGTCTGTGTCTCACTGTGTCTCACTGTGTCTCACTGTGTCTCTCTGTGTCTCACTGTGTCTCACTGTGTCTCTGTGTGTCTTTCTGTGTCTTTCTGTGTCTCTGTGTCTCTCCGTGTCTCACTGTGTCTCACTGTGTCTCTCTGTGTCTCACTGTGTCTCTCTGTGTCTCACTGTGTCTCACTGTGTCTCTCTGTGTCTTTCTGTCTCTGTGTCTCACTGTGTCTCACTGTGTCTCACTGTGTCTCTGTGTCTGTCTCTGTATCCCTCTCTGTCTCTGTCCGTGTCTCTCTGTGTCTCTCTCTGTGTCTCTGTGTCTGTCTGTGTCTGTCTGTGTCTGTCTCTGTCTGTGTCTCTCTGTGTCTGTCTCTCTCTGTCTCTCTCTGTGTCTATCTCTCTCTATATCTCTCTCTGTCTCTCTCTCTCTCTCTTTGTGTGTCTCTGTGTCTCTCTCTCTGTCTCGCTCTGTGTGTCTGTGTCTCTCCCTGTCTCTCTCTCTCTCTGTGTCTCTCCCTGTGTGTCTCTCTCTATCTCTCTCTCTGTGTCTCTTTGTGTCTCTGTGTCTCTCTGTCTCTCTCTTTGTGTCTCTCTGTCTGTCTCTCTGTCTCGCTCTGTGTCTCTGTGTCGTCTCTCTTTGTGTCTCTCTGTCTCGCTCTATGTGTCTCTGTGTCTCTCCCTCTCTGTGTCTCTCTCTCCCTGTGAGTCTCTCTCCATCTCTCTGTCTCTCTCTGTCTCTGTCTCTCTCTCTTTGTGTCTCTGTGTCTCTCTGTGTCTGTCTCTGTCTCTCTGTCTCTCTTTGTGTGTATCTGTGTCTCTCTGTGTCTGTCTCTGGCTCTCTGTCTCTCTTTGTGTGGCTCTGTGGCTCACTTCTTGGGCTCGAAGGGATTTGACCAAACCTTCATGCCTGGGCAGTCAAGGGGAGGGGAATCGGGAGGGGGGGGGGCAGAGGGGGGAGCATTGGGGTGGGGAGCAACGTAGAGACTCGATGAGAATCCCATAGGATGCTCGCTGTGTGAGTGAGTCTGTGGGTCTCTGTGTGGTGAGTCTGTGGGTCTCTGTGTGAGTGAGTCTGTGGGTCTCTGTGTGAGTCTGTGGGTCTCTGTGTGAGTGAGTCTGTGGGTCTCTGTGTGGTGAGTCTATGGGTCTCTGTGTGAGTGAGTCTGTGGGTCTCTGTGTGGTGAGTCTGTGGGTCTCTGTGTGAGTGAGTCTGTGGGTCTCTGTGTGAGTGAGTCTGTGGGTCTCTGTGTGAGTCTGTGGGTCTCTGTGTGAGTGAGTCTGTGGGTCTCTGTGTGGTGAGTCTATGGGTCTCTGTGTGAGTGAGTCTGTGGGTCTCTGTGTGGTGAGTCTGTGGGTCTCTGTGTGATTGAGTCTGTGGGTCTCTGTGTGAGTGAGTGTATGGGTCTCTGTGTGAGTGAGTCTGTGGGTCTCTGTGTGAGTGAGTCTGTGGGTCTCTGTGTGAGTGAGTCTATGGGTCTCTGTGTGAGTCTGTGGGTCTCTGTGTGAGTGAGTCTGTGGGTCTCTGTGTGAGTGAGTCTGTGGGTCTCTGTGTGAGTGAGTCTGTGGGTCTCTGTGTGAGTGAGTCTGTGGGTCTCTGTGTGGTGAGTCTGTGGGTCTCTGTGAGTCTGTGGGTCTCTGTGTGAGTGAGTCTGTGGGTATCTGTGCGAGTCTGTGGGTCTCTGTGCGAGTCTGTGGGTCTCTGTGTGAGTCTGTGGGTCTCTGTGTGAGTGAGTCTGTGGGTCTCTGTGTGAGTGAGTCTGTGGGTCTCTGTGTGAGTGAGTCTGTGGGTCTCTGTGTGAGTGAGTCTATGAGTCTCTGTGTGAGTCTGTGGGTCTCTGTGTGAGTCTGTGGGTCTCTGTGTGAGTGAGTCTGTGGGTCTCTGTGTGAGTGAGTCTGTGGGTCTCTGTGTGAGTGAGTCTATGGGTCTCTGTGTGAGTGAGTGTGTGGGTCTCTGTGTGAGTGAGTCTGTGGGTCTCTGTGTGGTGAGTCTGTGGGTCTCTGTGTGAGTGAGTCTGTGGGTCTCTGTGTGGTGAGTCTGTGGGTCTCTGTGTGGTGAGTCTGTGGGTCTCTGTGTGAGTGAGTCTGTGTGTCTCTGTGTGGTGAGTCTGTGGGTCTCTGTGTGAGTGAGTCTGTGGGTCTCTGTGTGAGTGAGTTTGTGGGTCTCTGTGTGAGTGAGTCTGTGGGTCTCTGTGTGGTGAGTCTGTGGGTCTCTGTGTGAGTGCGTCTGTGGGTCTCTGTGTGGTGAGTCTGTGGGTCTCTGTGTGAGTGAGTCTGTGGGTCTCTGTGTGAGTGAGTCTGTGGGTCTCTATGTGAGTCTGTAGGTCTCTGTGTGAGTGAGTCTGTGGGTCTCTGTGTGAGTGAGTCTGTGGGTCTCTGTGTAGTGAGTCTGTGGGTCTCTGTGTGAGTCTGTGGGTCTCTGTGTGAGTCTGTGGGTCTCTGTGTGAGTCTGTGGGTCTCTGTGTGAGTGAGTCTGTGGGTCTCTGTGTGAGTGAGTCTGTGGGTCTCTATGTGAGTCTGTGGGTCTCTGTGTGAGTGAGTTAGTGGGTCTCTGTGTGGTGAGTCTGTGGGTCTCTGTGTGGTGAGTCTGTGGGTCTCTGTGTGGTGAGTCTATGGGTCTCTGTGTGGTGAGTCTGTGGGTCTCTGTGTGAGTGAGTCTGTGGGTCTCTGTGTGAGTGAGTCTGTGGGTCTCTGTGTGAGTGAGTCTGTGGGTCTCTGTGTGAGTGAGTCTGTGGGTCTCTGTGTGAGTGAGTCTGTGGGTCTCTGTGCGAGTCTGTGGGTCTCTGTGCGAGTGAGTCTGTGGGTCTCTGTGTGAGTGAGTCTGTAGGTCTCTGTGTGAGTGAGTCTGTGGGTCTCTGTGCGAGTCTGTGGGTCTCTGTGTGAGTGAGTCTGTGGGTCTCTGTGTGAGTGAGTCTGTGGGTCTCTGTGTGAGTCTGTGGGTCTCTGTGTGGTGAGTCTGTGGGTCTCTGTGTGAGTGAGTCTGTGGGTCTCTGTGTGAGTCTGTGGGTCTCTGTGTGAGTCTGTGGGTCTCTGTGTGAGTCTGTGGGTCTCTGCGTGAGTGAGTCTGTGGGTCTCTGTGTGAGTGAGTCTATGGGTCTCTGTGTGAGTGAGTCTGTGGGTCTCTGTGTGAGTGAGTCTGTGGGTCTCTGTGTGGTGAGTCTGTGGGTCTCTGTGTGAGTGAGTCTGTGGGTCTCTGTGTGAGTGAGTCTGTGGGTCTCTGTGTGAGTGAGTCTGTGGGTCTCTGTGTGAGTCTGTGCGTCTCTGTGTGAGTCTGTGGGTCTCTGTGTGAGTGAGTCTGTGGGTCTCTGTGTGAGTGAGTCTGTGGGTCTCTGTGTGGTGAGTCTGTGGGTCTCTGTGTGAGTGCGTCTGTGGGTCTCTGTGTGGTGAGTCTGTGGGTCTCTGTGTGAGTGAGTCTGTGGGTCTCTGTGTGAGTGAGTCTGTGGGTCTCTATGTGAGTCTGTGGGTCTCTGTGTGAGTGAGTCTGTGGGTCTCTGTGTGAGTGAGTCTGTGGGTCTCTGTGTGGTGAGTCTGTGGGTCTCTGTGTGGTGAGTCTGTGGGTCTCTGTGTGAGTCTGTGGGTCTCTGTGTGAGTCTGTGGGTCTCTGTGTGAGTCTGTGGGTCTCTGTGTGAGTCTGTGGGTCTCTGTGTGAGTGAGTCTGTGGGTCTCTATGTGAGTCTGTGGGTCTCTGTGTGAGTGAGTCTGTGGGTCTCTGTGTGGTGAGTCCGTGGGTCTCTGTGTGGTGAGTCTGTGGGTCTCTGTGTGGTGAGTCTGTGGGTCTCTGTGTGGTGAGTCTGTGGGTCTCTGTGTGAGTGAGTCTGTGGGTCTCTGTGTGAGTGAGTCTGTGGGTCTCTGTGTGAGTGAGTCTGTGGGTCTCTGTGTGAGTGAGTCTGTGGGTCTCTGTGTGAGTGAGTCTGTGGGTCTCTGTGTGAGTGAGTCTGTGGATCTCTGTGTGGTGAGTCTGTGGGTCTCTGTGTGAGTGAGTCTGTGGCTCTCTGTGTGGGTGAGTCTATGGGTCTCTGTGTGGTGAGTCTGTGGGTCTCTGTGTGAGTCTATGGCTCTGTGTGTGAGTGAGTCTGTGGGTCTCTGTGTGAGTGAGTCTGTGGGTCTCTGTGTGAGTGAGTCTGTGGGTCTCTGTGTGAGTGAGTCTGTGGCTCTCTGTGTGGGTGAGTCTATGGTTCTCACCACTCTCTGACCCTCACCTCCTGGCTGAATGGATTCCTGATCGACTCCTTCCCGGTTCACCTTCTGCACGACCTCTGCTTGATGGACACAAAATGACACGCACGGAGACAGACTCACACACAGAGACCCACAGACTCACTCGCACAGAGACCCATAGACTCACTCGCACAGAGACCCATAGACTCACTCGCACAGAGACCCACAGACTCACTCACACAGAGACCCACAGACTCACTTGCACAGAGACCCACAGACTCACTCGCACAGAGACCCACAGACTCACTTGCACAGAGACCCACAGACTCACTCACACAGAGACCCACAGACTCACTCACACACAGAGACCCACAGACTCACTCACACAGAGACCCATAGACTCACTCACACAGAGACCCACAGACTCACTCACACACAGAGACCCACAGACTCACTCGCACAGAGACCCATAGACTCACCACACAGAGACCCACAGACTCACTCGCACAGAGACCCACAGACTCACCACACAGAGACCCACAGACTCACTCGCACAGAGACCCACAGACTCACTCACACAGACACCCACAGACTCACTCACACAGAGACCCACAGACTCACTCACACACAGAGACCCACAGACTCACCACACAGAGACCCACAGACTCACTCACACAGAGACCCACAGACTCACTTGCACAGAGACCCACAGACTCACTCACACAGAGACCCATAGACTCACACAGAGACCCACAGACTCACTCACACAGAGACCCATAGACTCACTCACACAGAGACCCACAGACTCACTCACACAGAGGCCCATAGACTCACTCACACAGAGACCCATAGACTCACTCACACAGAGACCCACAGACTCACTCACACAGAGACCCATAGACTCACACAGAGACCCACAGACTCACTCACACAGAGACCCATAGACTCACTCACACAGAGACCCACAGACTCATTCACACAGAGACCCACAGACTCACCACACAGAGACCCACAGACTCACCACAGAGACCCATAGACTCACCACACAGAGACCCACAGACTCACTCACACACAGAGACCCACAGACTCACTCACACACAGAGACCCACAGACTTACTCACACAGAGACCCACAGACCCACTCACACACAGAGACCCACAGACTCACTCACACACAGAGACCCACAGACTCACCACGCAGAGACCCACAGACTCACTCACACACAGAGACCCACAGACTCACTCACACACAGAGACCCACAGACTTACTCACACAGAGACCCACAGACCCACTCACACACAGAGACCCACAGACTCACTCACACACAGAGACCCACAGACTCACCACGCAGAGACCCACAGACTCACTCACACACAGAGACCCACAGACTCACCACACAGAGACCCACAAACTCACTCACACAGAGACCCACAGACTAACTAACACACAGAGACCCACAGACTCACCACACAGAGACCCACAGACTCACTCACACACAGAGACCCACAGACTCACTAACACACAGAGACCCACAGACTCACCACACAGAGACCCACAGACTCACCACACACAGAGACCCACAGACTCACTCACACACAGAGACCCACAGACTCACTCACACACAGAGACCCACAGACTCACTCACACAGAGACCCACAAACTCACACAGAGACCCACAGACTGACTCACACAGAGACCCACAGACTCACGCAGAGACCCACAGACTCATTCACACAGAGACCCACAGACTCACTCACACAGAGACCCACAGATTCACTCACACAGAGACCCACAGACTCACACAGAGACCCACAGACTGACTCACACAGAGACCCACAGACTCACGCAGAGACCCACAGACTCATTCACACAGAGACCCACAGACTCACTCACACAGAGACCCACAGACTCACTCACATAGAGACCCACAGACTCACTCACACAGAGACGCACAGACTCACTCACACAGAGACCCACAGACTCACTCACACAGAGACCCACAGACTCACTCACACAGAGCCCCATAGACTCACTCACACAGAGACCCACAGACTCACCACACAGAGACCCACAGACTCACTCACACAGAGACCCATAGACTCACTCACACAGAGACCCGCAGACTCACCAAACAGAGACCCACAGACCCACTCACACAGAGACCCACAGACTCACACAGAGACCCATAGACACACTCACACAGAGACCCACAGACTCACTCACATAGAGACCCACAGACTCACCCACACAGAGACCCACAGACTCACTCACACAGAGACCCATAGACTCAACACACAGAGACCCACAGACTCACTCACACAGAGACCCATAGACTCACTCACACAGAGAGCCATAGACTCACACAGAGAGCCATAGACTCACTCACACAGATACCTATAGACTCACACAGAGAACCATAGACTCACTCACAAAGAGAGCCATAGACTCACTCACACAGAGACCCACAAACTCACTCACACAGAGAGCCATAGACTCACTCACACAGAGACCCACAAACTCACTCACATAGAGACCCATAGACTCACTCACACAGAGAACCATAACTCACTCACACAGAGACCCATAGACTCACTCACACAGAGACCCACAGACTCACCATACAGAGACCCACAGACTCACTCACACAGAGACACATAGACTCACACAGATCGCGATATAGATTGTAGCTATAGACTGTATAGCTGCAGTATATACAATATAGACTGTATATACAGCATATACTGTAGTTATATACTGTGGGGCTACAGCATAGACTTATATACAGTATAGACTGCAGGTATATACTGTATGCACAGTATCCACAACATACTGTATATACAGTATATACTGTAGTTATATACTGTGGGGCTACAGTATAGACTGTATATACAGCATAAACCGCAGGTATATACTGTATGCACAGTATCTACTGTATATACAATATAGACTTATATACAGTATATACTGTAGTTATATACTGTGGGGCAGCAGTATAGACTGTATATACAGTATAGACTGCAGGTATATACTGTATGCACAGTATCTACTGTATATACAATATAGACTGTATAGACAGTATATACTGTAGTTATATACTGTGGGGCTACAGTATAGACTGTATATACAGTATAAACTGCAGGTATATACTGTATGCACAGTATCTACTGTATATACAATATAAACTCATGTACAGTATATACTGTAGTTATATACTGTGGGGCTACAGTATATACTGTATATACAGTATAAACTGCAGGTATATACTGTATGCACAGTATCTACTGTACATACAATATAGACTTATATACAGTATATACTGTAGTCATATACTGTGGGGCCACAGTATATACTGTATATACAGTATAAACCGCAGGTATATACTGTACGCACAGTACACACTGTATATGCAAATATATACAGCACATCGTTTTTACGCGGTATATAACGGCGCCATAGACTACCGCGTACAGTACATACCGTGGCACAGTGCGTACTGTACGTACAGTGCGTACAGTGCGCACTGTGCGCGTACAGTACTCACGGAAGTCAGCGATGTTCAGGAACGGGTGGATCGCGATGGGATAAATCGTCACCGCCAGCGCCGCCACGAAGCCTCCGAAGACGAGCGTCGTGCGCGTGATGCGACCCATGGCGGCGTCAACAACAGAGCGAGGGCGAGTAAACAACAACAACAACAAACAGCAGCAGCAGAGGGAGCTGTCAACAAGACGCACGCTCAGCCTAGAAGTCGCCCGTAACCTTGAAGCCCAAGAAGCGCCTCTCCCATTGGTCCGTGGTGGCCCGGTTGGGGGGGTGGGCGGGGCAGCGTGAAGGGGGCGGGGATCCCAGCTGTGTAAGCTCGCACCCCATTGGGCGGCGTGCTTGGAAACGTTTTCGCTGTCCAATCATCGAAGGGCACTGCTGCTGCTGCTACTGGGGGTCAGTGCCAGGCTAGGTGCACCTTGAGGCTACTGGGGGTCAGTGCCAGGCTAGGTGCACCTCGAGGCTACTGGGGGTCAGTGCCAGGCTAGGTGCACCTCGAGGCTACTGGGCAGTGCCAGGCTAGGTGCACCTTGAGGCTACTGGGGGTCAGTGCCAGGCTAGGTGCACCTCGAGGCTACTGGGGGTCAGTGCCAGGCTAGGTGCACCTCGAGGCTACTGGGCAGTGCCAGGCTAGGTGCACCTTGAGGCTACTGGGGGTCAGTGCCAGGCTAGGTGCACCTTGAGGCTACTGGGCAGTGCCAGGCTAGGTGCACCTTGAGGCTACTGGGCAGTGCCAGGCTAGGTGCACCTTGAGGCTACTGGGGGTCAGTGCCAGGCTAGGTGCACCTTGAGGTAACTGGGGTCAGTGCCAGGCTAGGTGCACCTTGAGGCTACTGGGGGTCAGTGCCAGGCTAGGTGCACCTTGAGGCTACTGGGGGTCAGTGCCAGGCTAGGTGCACCTTGAGGCTACTGGGGGTCTGTGCCAGGCTAGGTGCACCTTGAGGCTACTGGGGGTCAGTGCCAGGCTAGGTGCACCTTGAGGCTACTGGGCATTGCCAGGCTAGGTGCACCTTGAGGCTACTGGGGGTCAGTGCCAGGCTAGGTGCACCTTGAGGCTACTCGTGGTCAGTGCCAGGCTAGGTGCACCTTGAGGCTACTGGGGGTCAGTGCCAGGCTATGTTCACCTTGAGGCTACTGGGTAGTGCCAGGCTAGGTGCACCTTGAGGCTACTGGGGGTCAGTGCCAGGCTAGGTGCACCTTGAGGCTACTGGGCAGTGCCAGGCTAGGTGCACCTTGAGGCTACTGGGGGTCAGTGCCAGGCTAGGTGCACCTTGAGGCTACTGGGCAGTGCCAGGCTAGGTGCACCTTGAGGCTACTGGGAGTCAGTGCCAGGCTAGGTGCACCTTGAGGCTACTGGGGTCAGTACCAGGCTAGGTGCACCTTGAGGCTACTGGGGGTCAGTGCCAGGCTAGGTGCACCTTGAGGCTACTGGGCAGTTGGAGGCAGTCGCCCTCCAACAACAACAGCGGAGGGCGGAGGAGCGACGCTCACAACAACGAGCGGAGCGCCGGGTGGCTAAATCACAGCAAGTTGGCACAGTAGGGGGCACAGGTGGTGCATCAGCCAGTCATCTCAGTCAGTCGACCCATGGCACCTGGGTCTGCCCCGTGACCTCCTGCCAGCGGGCGTTCGACACTTCACGTGGCCTCAAGGTGCACATAGCCTGGCACAAGCGTCGTGGTGACGTCACCGCCACTTAGTGGCGAATGGCGGTTGTTGTTGTTGTGAGTGTGTGTGAGTGTGTGTGTGTGAGTGTGTGTGTGAGTGTGTGTGTGAGTGTGTGAGTGTGTGTGTGAGTGTGTGAGTGTGTGTGAGTGTGTGAGTGTGTGTGAGTGTGTGTGTGAGAGTGTGTGTGAGTGTGTGTGTGAGTGTGTGTGTGGCGAATGGCGGTTGTTGTTGTGTGAGTGTGTGTGAGTGTGTGTGTGTGAGTGTGTGTGTGAGTGTGTGTGTGTATGAGTGTGTGTGTGAGTGTGTGTGAGTGAGTGTGTGAGTGTGTGTGTGAGTGAGTGTGAGTGTGTGAGTGTGTGTGTGTGAGTGTGTGTGAGTGTGTGTGTGAGTGTGTGTGTGGCGAATGGCGGTTGTTGTGTGAGTGTGTGTGAGTGTGAGTATACCGACATCCTTCCGCAGAACCTGGAGCATCTGGCCCCTCAAAAAAACCCAAATCACCTGGGCCCTCTGGCCACTGAACGTCCATCAAACGCTCTCCACCCGTCAAGCCCCCACGGATGACGGCAGTGGATTCAGCTTCCACGTTATAGTGGCGCTATGGGGAATGAATAAACACATGGCACGGCAAAGGTGTGGTTCACCCAACACCTTTGGTGGCTACAACAACGTCCGCTAAGGCTCCACCCTCCTCCCCTGTGGGTATAAAGTGCACGGGGGGGGGGGGGGGGAGGAGCAAGGGAGCTCGGGGCAGAGCGTTGGGCACCGAGGCTGAAGCAACCGGTGAAGAGGAAAGAAGGCCGGCTAGGATAGACCCTGGGACTTTCTGTGACCGCTGCCCTTCGCAGGGCCGGCACAGCGAGCCGGTGGTGTGGCCCCATAGTTTAGTTTTAGTTTAGTTTCATTTATTTGGTATAGCCCCTGTGAGCCATTCGGCTCTTGAATCGGGTGCAACCACAACAAACAAACAAACATAAAACATGAACAAGAAAACATCTTAAAGTGATTATGTGTGACTGTGCAAACAGAAAATACAGGAAAAAATATCAAAATATTCCTGAAAAAGCACCATACACCAACGCTGTGTCCAAAAATCCCAGTGGGATGCAAGTCAAAAAACAACAACACCAACAACCACAAGGCAATTAAGATTAAGGCCATCAGTCTAACTCCGTACTACAACAACAACCACAAGACAACTTAGATTAAGGCCTTCAGTCTAACTCCGTACTACAACAACAACAACAAGACAACTTAGATTAAGGCCATCAGTCTAACTCCGTTACTACAACAACAACCACAAGACAACTTAGATTAAGGCCATCAGTCTAACTCCGTTACTACAACAACAACCACAAGACAACTTAGATTAAGGCCATCATTTTAACTCCGTACTACAACAAACAAAAACATGGCCAAAACAAACAAAAACGTTTTCGAAATCACCAAAATAACAGCCATAAATGCAATGTAACAGTGATCACAGGCACTGTGACCGAATTTTTTAACAATAAACTACATAAATAAATTTTTACACCAAAATCTAGAGCCGTATATTAGGCCGCTGAATAGCAGTGGCAGCTAGGGTTGTACAACTCCTCTAGAGCAGTTTTGAGTGAAGATCTCATTGGTAGCGATTCAAGTTGCAGTTTATTGGCAATAACATTGCAGACCCTGGGGGCATCAATAGCAAAGGCCCTTCCTCCAGTTTTTGTACGGCAATAAGGGAATGTGAAGCTGGTAAATGAGCGAAGACCTGAGGTCAAATTTGTTCTTTGAAACAGAGCCCCAGAGCCCCAGAGCCCCAGGAGTCCTTCTACTAAGGGCCGGGGTGTACCGAGATCTGTGCCCTAACCAGGGCCAAGTGATCTGATAGCCTCCCTCAGAGCCCTACCAGGAGGAACTGGGAGGCTAGAGCTTAGGCTTTAGAGAGCCCTGGGTGTGTGTGCGTGTGTGAGTCGTACGGGTGGAGGGGTCGCTAACCCCTTCTATTTATTTAAACCCTTGTTAAGGTTTAAATAAATAGCGCTGCTTCTATACTCTTTGCTTCGATTGGGTAAAGTCACCACGTAGGTAAAAAAAAATTAAAATAACTAAAAATCACGACGTTTCGGCCAACAATACAAGCGGCCTTCATCAGGTGTAGGGGACGGAGACTGTCTGGAGGACAGCGCTGGAGTAAAAAAAAAAAGCCACGCTCACCTGATGAAGGCCGCTTGTGTTGTGGCCGAAACGTCGTGAATTTTGTTATTTTTATTTTTTTATACCTACGTGGTGACTTTGCCCAATAGAACCAAATGGAGTGTGGATCCTAGCAGTCACGAAAGCTTCAAATCTAGAAGTGCTGCGTCTAATCCGCCGTCTCAGCGTCTTGGAATCCACCACCACTACTACTACTACACACGTGTACCGCAAAAAAATCTAAAAAAATTTACGCCGCGCGTTTAACCTGAACGGACCAATGGGAGGGGACCGTCCGTTAATGACGTCACGCGATTTTGGACGATTTTTGACCACACCCCCCCCCTCAAATATGACGTCACACTGCGTCACAAAAAAGTCAGACCCCACCCCCCCCACCCAACCTCAAATATGACGTCACAAAGCTCTGCCCTCCCACCCCCCCCCAAAAAAAATAAAATAAAACACGCTTCAAATCGCTTTGAACTATTTGTCATGGAAGCGTGCGTTTAACGTGGCGCTTACACTCTGATGTTGTAGGATGAAACATTTATTTAAATAAAGAAAGTCTATTTAATTAAGCAGAAACGTGTCGTCTTTATTTATTTATTAAGCTGCGCATTTTGACGTGACGTCACATTTGTCAACAAGCCCCGCCCCCTCCCCTCCCCCTCCCATCGTCACACATCGTCACAAAGGTCTGACCCCTCGTGACGTCATTTGTGGACGGCCCCCGAGTCTGACGCGTGTTGGACGGGTGGCGGTCGCCTTTGATGACACATTTATATATTGACGGGATCCAAAACCAAAATAAATCTCTATTACACTGTACACTACACTATACACTACACTATACACTACACACTATACACTACACTATACACTACACTATACTCTACACACTACACTATACACTACACTATACACTACACTATACACTACACACTACACTATACACTACGCACTACATACTACACTATACACTACACTATACACTACACTATACACTACACTATACACTACACTATACTATACACTATGCACTACATACTACACTATACACTACACTATACACTACACTATACACTATATTCTACACTACACACTACACTATACACTACACTATACAATACACTACACTATACACTACGCACTGCACACTATTATACACTACACTACACACTGCGCTACTGTATACATTACACTATACACTACACTACACTATACACTACACTATACAATACACTAAACACTACACTATACACTACACACTACACTATACACTACACTACACACTACACTACACACTACGCTACTGTATACACTACACTATACACTACACTATACACTACACTACACACTACGCTACTGTATACACTACACTACACACTACACTACTATACACTACACA